AATCTAACTTTTTAAATAAACCTTTTGACAGTTTTATAATTTATTTTTTTTTAATTTTTAATTAAATTTTTTTAATTTAAATTTTTCAAATTAAAGTAAAATCAAAAATCAAATTAAAAGAATTAAAAAGATAAATTTGTTACAGCAACCAACAAAGCCTCTAACAAACTGCGTTTACCTAATTCAAGTTGTAAATCCCACTGAATAATGACTTTGCTGCTGTTGTGATGTATATACACCAGACGAGCCACATTAGTTGGGTCCAAACGACTTCGTAGTGGAGTTACAATATTTCCTGCTTCTGAGAATACTCGTTCTGATGCTGCAGAAGATGCTAGGACGGAGAGCACAGCACGATCAGATGTAGACAAAAGTAGAAATCGAAATTCATTTTGCTTCCATCAGCAAAGGACATCAGTATCTTATGGCACTTTGACTTTTGAAAAAGCTTCTTACTCCATCAAAATAAGAGGTTTCTCTTCAGCTCCAACCATTGGGTCTGTTGCTTTTTCTTCGTCTCTGCAGGCTTCATAAAGGGAATCGTTTTGACGGGAAAACTCCTCAAAAACCTCGAGACGTGTTGCAGAGGTCCATTCTTCGTAGAAAAAAATATTCATTAATAATTTCTCGTTTGACCTTTTCGAATAATGCCGGGGAGAATTGACGTAGAGCCAAACCACGATAACGTGGATCTAAAAAGTTGGCTTCAACAAAAGCTTTCTCGTCGAAGCCATGATTTTTAAACTTTTCTTCAAGCTTGAACAAAACAGCTGCACAGTAGTTCTTCACATCTTCTGTGTTTTTTTCTGTCATGCTGTCAGAGAAGATTTTGTGCAAGTTGAACACTTCGGGAATGACTTCATGAAATGATGGTTTGTCTTCAACAGGCAAGGTGTTAATTGCGTCATTAAGACGTTTCATCAAGGGCAAAACTTTCTTCCAGATTTCAAAAATGGATTCATCAGGAATTTCTCTCCACCAAGTATTCTGCTTGTCAGGGAATTTATTTTTCTTTCCTTTTCTTTGTATGTACAGAATAATAGGCTTCGCATCTAAAATTGACTTTATGCAAAAAAACATACTATTCCAGCGTGTCTTGACAAAGCTTTGAATTTTATGGAATGGTCCTTTAAACAATTTTTTTTGTTTCAAGTGCGCTGCAGTGGCCTCCATTTGGCCTGCAATCTTGGGTGAGTTTCGAAGCAAAGAGGAAAACACTTTTGCTTTTTCAAACCAAGGACTGGCTTTAAGTCCAGCTAAGCAGACCAGATTTAACCGATGGTTGACACAGGAAACTGATAAGACTGATGATGAGTTTTTTGAAAAAGCCTTCACATTGGCGGCAGCAACATCATGAGTAAGAAAGATTTCACAACCATTGGGCAACTAACTTTGTAAATCCTGAGTTAAACTCGAAGAATAATAAAAATAACATTGTAAAAATAATTAAACACAAAAATGATAGAGGCAAATAAGTGCAGTAGCATAGCGCAACAGGGGTAAAGGGCCTTTTCCTCAGAGCGCATACGATTAAAGAGGTGCCAAAAAAAATGCTTGTTTTTTTATAAAAAGCTATTACTATTACTAAAACTATTGTTATAAAAAGGCCCTTTTTTGCTCTTTTGGACACGGGCGCTAATGACCCTCGCTATGCCACTGCATTGTGAATACCAAAATCTATATATCCTACTATAACAAATCTTAATTGCATAGGATCTTGCGACTTCAGCTTTAGAAAATGTGTTGGCTTTTTGAATTTCCCGCGCAGTTGAAAGTAACTGCCAGCTCCAGTCCCTAGAAATATTTTTAATTGCTTTTATCATAAGAGCTTCAACTCCTAAAAGCAGTTTTGCAAGTTTTCAGAATCATTAAGTATTAAAAAATGATTACCTCCTATTGATGTCAAAAACTCAAGTTTTTTCCCAGAAATGGCTTGTTGGGACTTCATTTCTTCCTCCTGCTGCAAAACTTCATTATACACATAGTTTTGTGTTTGCGCTTGAGGTGTGCCAGTTGCAGAAGCATTTGGTCTAGCAATTCTGTTAGAGACGACATCTGGACATAACTTGCATTTGACTTGCAGAACATTTTTTGAAGTCGGTTCAACATCTTTAAAGTTATTCCACCAGAGTTTTTGCCTTTTTTCTGGTTTCTGCAAATTTAAAAGAAATCATTTACAAGCTCAAAAAGTAACAATACCAACTTTATAGCGAGTATTACTTAGTCTACTTTAGGATCCATATTTTACAATCTTATAATATAACTTAAAGATGAACAAAACAATTTTAATTACAGCTTGGAGCCTATTTAAAATAATTACTCTAAGTTATAAATCATATTTATTCAAAAAAAAAGGAGAAAAAAATAAACAAAAAAACTATACCTGCCATTTTGTGGTTCAACCTTTGATCGTAAGGCAAAAAATGAGCCTGATACTAGATGCAAAATCTAAGAGTGAAAATAAATTTAAATTGTAAACATTTTTTTGCTGGTTTTTTACATTTTTATGTTTACAAACTTAGAGTGTGTAGTTGCAAAAACTGTGTGACACTACTTTTTTGAGCCACACAATTTTTGTGAAAAAACCACTAACTTTAAGTACTCTCTTAAAATTTTCGCTTTTGAAATTTAAGACTTCAGGCTTAATACTGTGAAGAAACATTTCCTTCACAAGCTAAAAAAAATGAATCATAAAATTTACCTTTTTACTGCATTTGATTATAAATCTTTTAAAAATTGAAATTTTCTTTTGACTTATGCAAATCATAAAGTTTAACTTGTCACGCTTTAATATTGGCACGCTTTAATATTGTCTTGACACGGAATTCCGCGTCAATTCTTCCGCGGAAGAATTATTTATTACGAAATAAAAAACCATGACTATAAAACATAAAAAAACCTAATTTGTACCAGTCGGCTGGAAAGACTGTCTAAAATTAAAGTTAAAATATAACTTTAGACTTATCAAAGTCTAAAATTTTAGTTAATTAAACGTTTATTGTGCAATTCAACATAAAATATTTTTCGAATCGGGTAAAATCGGTTGCACGCGAGAATGAACCAAGAAGATTTTATTTAATAATATATTATATAAATTACAACTAATATAATTAATGAAATTCTATAGAAGTTTTGGTATACTCTTTTTATAATACTTTTATAAGACTTTACTTATAAATAGCTTTATTAGAAATTTTCCGAATTTTAAATTCAGGATAATTTCGTAGCAATAAGGTTTTTAGTTTCCGCTCATTGTGGTATTTTATTGATACTATTACTTAAGACATATGTTCACAAATGTTCTTTTGATAATTAATTTATACCAAATAAAAAGAGAGTAGTTTTTAATTAATTTGTTTGGAGATTAAAATATTTGAAGATAGCAAGCGCTACTCTACATGCTACACAAACTTTATGACCGCTCGAAATGTTAAAAGTGCACAGAACAAAGGGGTTGTTAATGTTTTAATTAAAAAGGATAAAGGTTTTACTGTTGTTATCTCTACTATGAACAGTAATCGTGGTCGTATGTGGAATTCTTTAGAGTTGTATGCTACATACATGAGCCATAGTGGTATAAAAAGCCGCAGAAATTTAATTTTTGATCTTTTTGACTACGTTGGTAATGCTATGGTGGTTCTCAGTTCTTTAGGAAAAGTTAGTAGCTAAAACAGTTGAAAAAAATCCAGCAATTGTTGATTGTGCTTGTACATTAATGTCATGTTCTGGAAGGTGTATAGATAATTGCGATTGCTGGTGTTGGAGCTATGTTGGCTGGAAAGACGTTTCCACACAGTATTAGAGTATTACGTTTGATCGTGGAAGAACTAATTTCCCTTTTGTTCTCTAAAGACATAAGGGATTTTGATTCTTTAAAGTTTCATCTGAAAAAAATAGCAAGTAAGAGTCGAGCATCAAAACATTGCATCGACTATTTAATAAAGCGAGTTTTCATTGCGTTAACCCAGTAGGCACGGGACCTAGAGAAGACGTTTTTTGAACGTTGAAAAGATGTCCAAATCGTTCAAAAGACGTTTAAAAGGTGTCTTTTTCATGTTCCGTGCCCACTGGGAATATTTATACGCGCCGATTGCAAAAGTAACTGGACTTTACATTTGTGGGCAATTTGATGAGCATTTTGTAGTTTATTATTGTAAAATATTCTGCAATTTTTAAACTTAAAGAAAATTAATCACTTCATTTTTATTATTTATTTTACCTTTCTCAGGACGTATTTTATGTTGAACCGCTGTTTTAAGTCTGCCGAATCCCTTTATTTGCAGAAAAATGGTGGTTTCCTTTTTTTTGATCCCGTTAACTTTGATTTTTAATATCTAAAGTTGCCAAGCAATCATTAAATATTACTTGTACCCTATTTCAAGGGTACAAGAGTATATAGTTGGCAACTGGACTATTAAAACATTTATTAAATTTTGACACTTAAATAATTTTTTAATTACAATAACAATATATTGTTATTGTATTACAAAGACGAATTACAATACAATATTTATTGTTATTGTAGTGGGTCATTACAATACATTTTTTTTCAGATATTGTTATTGTTTTATAAAGATGAATTACAGTACAATATTTATTTTTATTGTATTACAGAATTACAATAGTTGTAAATCACGAGTATTGTTATTGTTTCTAAATTAAGTTAATACAATAACAATAATTATTGTTACTGTTATTGTTTTAACTACAATTACAATAGTCCTAACCCTAGGTGGGAGCCCTCTATATATATTTACATGTATGAATTAAAATTTTTTACAATTATTTTTTAAAAGGTGTTGAGAGACTTTCTCGCTATTACATTTTAATAGCTGCCTTTAACTTTATGTCAAAAAGTACAAGCGGGCACCATAACTACCATTAAGTTCTACATTATTACAAAGAGATGAAAAAGTAGTTCAGAGGAATCACTGATTTTTTTTGAGATTCACTTGAAATATTGTTTTATTTTACATTAAATTTTATATTTAATATTTTAGATTTCACTTGTAATTGGGGCATCTATTGGTAGTGTATTTGCTGGAATTTTTATTGACAAGCTTGGTAGAAGATCAACTATTCTTATGACCTCAATAATCTACCTTTTTGGTTATGTGTTACTAATATTTGGTTGTCCAGAAATTCAAAACAACGAAGGTTTTTCAAATTTTTTTACTGTATTTGGCTGTATCTATTGTGGTATTGGAGTTGGTATGACTTCTCTTGTAGTACCAGTAAGTTCTAGTACCAATAAGCTTCTTGTTGCTAAGTTGCATTAGTTAAACTTGTTTGATAAAATTTTATAAAACTTTATTATTTTATTTATTTAGTTTTTTTTTAAATAGTTTTTTCTTATTATCTCTGTTACATTAGGTTAAGGTATGTTAAAAATCTTTTAAAATTTTTTTTGATTTTTAAAAAATCCCTTTTTGTCTAATAAAAATATATGTTTTGTTTAGACTAATTAAATTAGATATCTCAGGTATCAAGGATCGCAGTTTTTAGAGTGGTAGAATTAAGAATAAGTATTTTGTGACGTTATTATTAAACAAAAAAAAACATTTTTCTATGTATTCATCAACGTAAAAAAGAATCTATTAAAAATTTAAATATGTATAAATAATATTTTATGTAGGAATTGTAATGATCGTTTTTGGATTCAAAATAAAATAAACCCTAAGATAAAATTAAATTAATGTTATTTAAAAATTATAAACAAAAATACTATACTAGAATTATAGTGAATATTTTCAAAATGACAACTAATTACAATTAATGAACAGTGTAACTAGCATTAAAAGATTTACCTAAAACAATAATACAAATTCAATATACTATATAGATAGTTAGTAACTCTCAAACTGAATAAAAACATTTTTAAACTATGACCTTTATTTTTGTTTTACTTATTAATTCCAATTTTTTTTCTTTCCGTCAACTACCAACATTATTCGTTTACTTTTATCTGTTTTGCTCGGTTTTTTGACATTTAATTAATCATATAGTAACAAGAAATGAAATTTACATTCTTAAAAAAGTCTAAACTAAAAGCTTAACAATATTTTTAAAACCGAATATTTAAAACCAAATATTTTTTCGAACAAAAAAACTAAAGGATGAGACTCGATTGAATGACAAGTAAAACGAAAATACTACGACGATGTGATAATGGTTGTAGGTTTGCTGCAAGAGCAGGTCCAACTATGTTTATAATGCTTTTTTGCACCTTGTCTAAAAAAGAAAGGACAACTCTCACAGAACCGTCCCCAATAAAGCAACTGGATTCCATACAACCAGGGATTAAAATTTATGGAGATAAAGAAAAGAATCCTAATAAAAAAGTGGGAAATACGATAGAGAGATGCAATCTTAGCAGATGGTAGTTTTGCAATTGATTTGATAAAAAAATGTTCACAAGAAAGGTTTGAAGTAAGGACTCTAACTTACACAACTTTGGAAAGAAAGTGGATTTTGAGTTAAAAAAAAGTAATGGAGTAAACCCTTTTAGCAAAAAAAAGTAATGGAGTAAACCCTTTTAGTAAAAGAGTAATAATAGTAATTATAAACATAAAAAACTTACCTACTGTTAAAACGTAAGGCGTATCTTCGGAAGCAACCGAAGATATGTTTACATATAGTTATACTCTACCACTCAAACTAGTAATGATCAAAAGACTGTTGTTTTAAATAAATACTCTCAAATCTCTTCAATCTACTCAGTTTTCTGTCTCTTTTTGTAATTCAAGCAAACATGACTTTTTAAGAACTATGGACTTAAGGAGAAGATTTGGATAAGATGCTACCAGCAAAAACCAGTAAAAACATACACTAATGCAAAACAATAAGTTGTTTACGTTTTCAAAATACTTATCTTTCAGATATTTACGCTTTCAAAGTAATATAAAAAAATTTATATGATTTTACTTTATTTAACCAAAAGGTAATTAATTATTTTGACAGATTGAGTCAATGTAAACTCTGTAAATCAGATTGAGCAATGTAAACTCTGTAAAGTATAGTTATTAATCTGTCAAGTGTAATTTAAAAAAATTTGTAATTAACCGATGAATAAGCAGAATCAAAGTTACCTACAGTAAAAACAAATCATAATAGAGGTTGTCACCCCAAAATATCACAATTAAGTTATTGTGGTCAATAAAAATTATAAATAAATCATCCATTTGCTACTGCTCAAGATGTAAATAAAATAATAGAACCAAAAGCTTCATAAAATACTGTTGTTAGTGTCAGGCCAGGCGCAAGACATTCCAAAGATGGGTAAAAAAATGCTTCTGCGCCTTAAAACACACTAATGTCATAAAAAAAAATCCTTCAAACTAAACTTTACCCAACTAAATTGTCAAGGTGAAAATCACCCTTGTACCCGCCTTCCGCCGGGCCTGCTTACTGTGTAAGGAGACGCTTTGATTTAAAGTACTATATAGTACTTCACATCAAAACATTATTGTCCCTATAAAAATTGAAAAGCAGAACAGTGGGTTTAAGAACAGTGTATAAAACCATTTACATAGAGCGAAATCATTAAGCTATTTGTCAAGTTTATTGATTAGCTAAAATTTTCTAAGCGTTTATTGTATGTAGTTGAACTAAGCGTTTATTGTATGCAGACACATATAGTTGACCTAAATCTAAAATATATATATATATATATATATATATATATATATATATATATATATATATATATATATATATATATATATATATATATATATATATATATATATTGAAAGAAAACATTAATTTTTTTAGGTTTACATTGCTGAAGTATCATCAGCGCGTTTACGTGGAGTCATGGGCGCCATAACTAATCATACAATAGTTTTTGGAATATTTTCATATTCCTTGACTGCAGAAATATCTAATTGGAACGTAAAGTATTATTATTCCGTTTTACTTGGGCTGGTTGTAATTCTGTTAAGTTTTTTAATGATTTTTATGCCGGAAACGCCGAGATGGCTTTTAGCCAATGATCAACGAGAAAAAGCATTTAAAATTCAATTGTGGCTTCTTGGTGTTAAATCTGATGCAGAAGACGAATGTAACCAAATTGAAATAAATTTAGGTTAGAAAATAATCAAAATTTCATAAATAATTTTAAAACTTATATAATACTTTATGTTATACATATTCATAAACGCATATATATATATATATATATATATATATATATATATATATATATATATATATATATATATATATATATATATATATATATATATAAATATATATAATATGTATATATATATCCGTATATATATATATATACATGTATATATTTATATATTTATATATATATATATTTATATATATATATATATATATATATATATATATATATATATATATATATATATATATATATATATATATATATATATATATATATGTATATATATATATATATATATATATATATATATATATATATATGTATAAATATATATATATATATCCATATATATATATATATATATATATATATAAATATATATATATATATATATATATATATATATATATATATATATATATATATATATATATATATATATATATATATATATATATGTATATATATATATATATATATATATATATATATATATATATATATATATATATATATATATATATATATATATATATATATATATGTATATATTTATAAACTTTTTTGAAGAAATATATTTATATTATATTTTTGGAAACCATAAATTAATTTTATTGCAAAATTAGCACCTTTTAAGTTGCACCTCTTTATTGTACTCGCTACTTTTTTACTCAGGAATCGAAATCTCTTTATTTCTTTAATCCGCCTTTTCATTTAGTACTGATGCCATATCTAGAGCGGATCTTCGAATGACGCCCTTTCTCTTTTAGACAAGGAGAAAAAATGCATTGTTCGCATAGTTGGACCTGCTTTTACAGCCAATCCTCAATCATTGGCACATTGTTGTAATGATGCTTTTCTTTCTCTTTTTTATAAATGCTGTAACTGGCGCTGCACTAATAAGCTAGCGTCTCTTGTGCCATCTACTAAAATTCATTTTCGTGTTACTTGTCATTCAACTAAGTCTTATCTTTTTACTACGATAGTTCCTAAGTGCTCCGAAAATTCGATTTTGTTTAGTTTTTACCTTGAACATTTGTTTTTTTGAATTTGCTTTCTTCATCTTGTTTTCCTTTTTCAAATAGCTTTTAATAAATAATGTTTTCTGTTAACTGTTAATTTGCTTTAAAAACTTTATCTTTTCTTATTCAGTAACTTTCGACTCTAATGATTGCATACAGCCTTGTTGAAAGTGAAGATGTTTAAAATAAATTGCAATAAATATATTATATTTAAAAAAGTTTTTTGTGAAAACTAATTTTAGTTCAATCATATGTTTTTATAATTTTAAAAAGGTTCTTATTTTCATTCAATAAGATTTATTGTTTAATAAACTTTTCAGATCCAAGTCGGCAGTGATTTTTTTAAAACCTGTGCTTTCCAAAATTAGAATTTTTTATGGAAAATGATAAAAATCTAACTATAGTAAAAAAAACTTGCTCATCATATTTATTTATATTTATGAAATTACTGATATTCAAAAGTTATTTGGCCGGATAATTTTTTTTCAAATTTTTCTCAAAACAATAAAATGAAAATTCTTCTATAAAAACACTTTTCAATTTTGATCAAGAAATTTTTTACGAAACAAAAATTGCTAATAAAATTCTACTTCATACATGCATAATTAATGTATATATATATATATATATATATATATATATATATATATGTATATATATATATATATATATATATATATATATATATATATATATATATATATATATATATATATATATATATATATATATATATGCAAACATAAATAAGTTTATATATATCTTTATTTATTTTAGCATACCAGCATATTGCATCTGTTAACGATTTTCGTTCACCGGGTTTGTATCGTCCTCTTACAATTGGATGTTTATTATTTTTAATTCATCAGTTTACTCTTATTGGATACATTTCTTATTTGTCTCGTTTACTTGGCCGTTACAAACATTTATATATTACTATAATTTGCTTTTTACTACAGTTGATACTTTCATTAGCAGGATGTTTTATAGTTGACAGATTTTTTCGCAGACATATTCTTTTATTTGGAAGTACAAGTTTACTTTTTTGTAGCATTGGGTTTGCAATTTTAAATTTATTTTTAAAAATAAATGTTGATATGGTCTATCTCATTATATATGCTACAATATTTATCACTACATGGGGATCCTTACCATGGATCATTACTTCGGAGATATTTCCACCTCGTGCTCGTGGACTTCTCGGTGGTATTGTTAGATCATTTATTTGGTTGTTTTATATTCCCACGGAAAGAGTTTTCTTAAAGTTGATATCCGTAAATGGCGCTCTTTGGTTTACAGCTTGCATATCTTTTCTTAGTATACTGTTTATTTATTATATTGTACCGGAAACAAAAAAGCTTACTTTAGAAGAAATTGAACATTACTATCTTATCAATCGTGGCTTTCGAAATTATTTGGTTTAACAACAGTTTTTTTCTGCTTTTTATCTTTAGTGTTGTTAGAAATGCTAAAGTTGAAATTTGAGTTTGGTTTTTAAGTTATTTTTTTTAGATCAAGTGTATATTTATTAAATAAAATGTTGTTTACTATATTGTACAGGGAATAAATGAGCCTGGTTTAGAAAAAGATTGCCATCTTTATAAACTTGAAGTTTTATAGCCATAAGTGTCATAAAACAAACTATGAACATATGTTTTGTTTTTTTTTGTATTTAGTTTATTTTGCTGTTTAACAAAAGCAATCAACATACATAATACAAGAAAGAAAAAATACGTCCGTAGAACGAAAAACACAATAAAACAACAAGCAAGGTTTTGTATATACAATTTATAAAATTTAAACTTTTTTATTTACGAAGACCTTTATAATATGAGGAATTAAACAGACAAGGGCTCAACGAAGATGAAAATGACAATACGTCATCGCAATCTTTTTATAGAACCTCTATATATACTTTTAATAAAATATAGATATTATATTATTATCTGTAGTGGGCATAAAACTGCTGTGCTGTACAGTAAATAAAAATAAAGATTAAAAAAAACGAAAAAATAGAATAATTTTTTTTTGGTTTTAAACTTAAATTAACTTAATGACTTTGTTATACATTTAAATCCAATTTGATCAATATTTCATATATTTAGACCTTGATTCAGTATATTTAAGATTTAGAGGCAGTTTATATCTGTTACTGTTATTTGCTCTTAGATAATAGTTTTCACTTCTACTTATTTTAAACTTGTTATATATAAAAATGAAATGCTGATATAAATTTATTTCGAAAATATCCATCATTTTCATATCATTCATTATAGGTTTAGCGAGATTATTAGCGTGATCATTAGTGTAAACACGGTAATCCTATAATGTATGATATGAGAAGTTATTTATTATTTATTTATTTATATTATTAATATCTTGTTTTTAGAGTAAATTATTCTGAATCCATGTTTATATAAGCTATAAATTTTTTAAGTTTTAATTTTTTCGTAGTTGCCCTTTATGTATTTGCATAACTTAAAAAGCAATGAATTAATCCAAAATATATTAATTTGAGACTTTTTTTATAGATATACGAACGAACTCTATAGATCATTCCATATACATTGGTGACTTAGATTGAATATATCTTATTTGAGGAAGCAGGATAAAACAAAATTATCAACAAAAAATCCAAAGAATCTTATATTGGCTCGTTTTTTATTTAGTTTATTATTAAAGATAAGGTCATGCAACTTAAGAGAAAGGTTTTCATCTTGTGATTTTTTATCGAATAATATGTGTTTTTTTTTTTCTCTGAGTTAAGCGACAGTTTATTAGCCTTGAACCAATTATTTTCTTTATGTAGTTTGGTATTAATGTCTGCTTAAAATTTCTTAATAATAATGTTAATAAGAAATAGATTTGTAACATCAGCAAACATGACGAAATTTAGTTTTAAAGACGCATTGCAAAAATCATTTATGTAATGATAACAGGAGTAGACCAAGGATAGATTTTTGGAGAAATCCACATAAAATATTTAACACTCCAGATATATTATTATATCATCAATAGAAAACACTATCAACGTATATTACATACATAGGGATTTCTATTGGTAAGATAACTTTTAATCCATTTGTAAGTTTTATTAATATTTATTAGGCTTTAATAACGGCTAGCTTTTGAATTTATAACTAGTTCTCTTTTTTATTTTATGTTTATTTTTTATTTTTTTATAAAATATCTAATGTAAAAATTTGTCCTAAGTTTGCCAAAAACTGTTTTTTAACTAGTTGCCTTTAAGTTTGCACCTTTTTATATTTTATTTTTTATTTTACTGAGCTTAAGATAAGGAAGCTATACGGTTGCTAACTTTTACTCTAATATTAAATAAGGTTTTTACATTTAAGAAGACTTTTTAATCGTTTATAACTTTAAAAAAAACATAACTGTCTTCACAAATTTTAAAAATAATCATGCCATTTTTCATGCTGATTTCACTCATGTAACCAGTGCAAGCATCAATCATTGAATCTCCTAACTCTGAAACCGTCTCTTTAGCCACTACATATACTGCTGGTTTCTTAAAATTAAATCATAAGCTCTCCGATAACATAGAGAAACAGGAGAGAAACATATGAAGTTATAACTGGGATTCATATATGAAGCCCTCCGGAACTTCACCAGATTTTTGCAGGTAATATAATTTTAATATTACCTTTAAAAAATACTTAACATATTAAAATTGTTATACTTGAGACTTATAGGCAACATATTTTAATATAACACATTTTTTAAATATATTTTAATACATTATAAAATTGACGTTTTTTCAATATTTTTTATAAATTTTTTTTTGACGATATTCTTAACGTGAAAATAGTCTAAGAAAAAAAACGTTTCTACCATTACATTAAACTAATACCAATTTCCAGAAGATTATAAAATCTTGGCTTATACGAGTCACCCAATAACTCAAATAAGCAAGACTATTTACCATTGTGATTATAATTTTTTTTACTTAACTGTTTGTATATTTACCTGTTGAAACTAGTAAAGTTATTTATTTTTTATTGCTTTCATGTTTTGCCGTATAAATTTTTAAACGATTGTTATTTTAATACAAATATAGATGGTCTGGACAAAAAGAAACACAATTTTTTTTTGCCTAGCCCCCAAAAATTGAATCTTTAAAAGACAATTAATTACACACAGCTTATGTAATTCTATTTAAAAAGGTAACACAAAAGGTTAAAAAGTAAAAAAGAAAGAGAAAAAGAAAATTTATTTTTTAACTTTAAGTAAAAAATGTTTAATTGTTTTATTTTACTTATTTATACATAATCACATAAACTATTGTAATATTGCACGGGCAAGTACTTGCCCTTCAGCATTAAAAAATAAGTATATTAAACAAAAGCCAGCCAGTAGAATTACATGTAATGTGCATAAATACTCCCACTCTAAGTCGTTAGTCCGGAAAATTAAATATCTTTATGTCTATGAGTTGAACCTGTTCCAAAACATGTTATTCATGTTTAAATACCAAAGTAACATGCTTCAAAAATCCTTCAATAACTGATTTCAAAAATTATTCATAAGTACTTAAAGAGATGCTCTGTCATTACTTTAATTTATCTAAGTCAACTCTTACAACTTCTAATAACTCAATTTCATATAAAGGATCTCGTAAAATCAAAAAATCTTTTATTATTTTTTACTTTATTTATTTATTTAGTTCTTGCAATTTATCGCACCTTATTGTAAATTAGTACTAACTTGTTTTATATATAAGTTTATTTGGTCTTTTAACATTTCAACTCAACATTTAAAATTGCGTTATAGAAAATTTAACATTTTATAACTAAGTTATATTAATTTGTATAAACAACTATATTAGTTTGTATATACTTGGAAATTTTTAGGAACTAAAAACAGTGTCTAAGTCTAATAGTATCGATTCATCATATCAGGGATGACCTTATTTGATGATTACAATGTACATCTTAGTTTGAAAAAGCCTCAAAAGTTCAACTAAAAACCTGCTAAAATAGTTGTTGTTATCTTTAAACAAGAATCTTTAGTTAAATTATAGTAACGTAACGAGGGGCAAAATGAGACACTTAAGCGCTAATATATCTAATACGGCCCGTCTAACAACTTTTGAAAAATAAATTGATATTTTTCAATTCTTCTACGATCCTAATTAAAGCCTAAAAAGTATGAGTTGCAAAACTGCAGTAGTTTGGTCACCAGAGATCATTTATTGACAGCACCTATTCTGTCTCATTTTGCCTCGCATACCGGGGCAAAATGAGACTAGGATTATGGAATTTAAAAAAAAAAAAAGAAAACAAAAGGATTAGCAAGAAATAAATTTTATAATATATTACAGCTATAATCAAACTGTCACTAGTCACATAAATCACATATTGCTTAACCAGTATTTTGAAACAAACAACAGTCCGAGTGAGCCCAGGTTGTGCATTTTGGAAATTGACTCCACTTATATATATATATATATATATATATATATATATATATATATATATATATATATATATATATATATATATATATATATATATATATATATATATATATATATATATATATATATATATATATATATATATATATATATATATATATATATATATATATATATATATATATATATATATATATATATATATATATATATATATATATATATGTATATATATATGTATATATATATCCACTCCAAGAACTAATAAAACTATACATGCATTTATTAAACTTATGTATTTAAAGCACGCATAACATTCATTGTATTTTTTTTATAAGTACTGCAATAACCTATGTTATAATCTACTCACTATATATAATATATACTACTTACTTTATTACATTACAATACAATAAGATTATAAAATACAAACATAGTAATTATAAACATCAGGCAATTATTTGCTTCAATTTGATTAAATATTTATTATATTTAGATATAACAAAATATAAAAAGTAATTCTATATTGAATAACAACTAAACATTTAAATTAACAAAATAAAAAGTAAGTAAATACAGTATAATAAATTTAAAAATACAGCATGTAAATAATAATATTTGCTTTGGTTGTTGTTTTAATGTAAAAAAATAAATAAACATAATTAGATATCGGCAAAAAAAAATACAAACAGAATGTCTCGTTTTGCCCAGCATCATGTTGGCATCGAATAGCCTAATTTCCAGACTATTTTATTGAAGAAATAAAATACCAAAGAATGGAAATGAAAGGAAAAGGCCTAAAGATTCTAATTAAAAAAAAAATTTAAATATAAAAAGCTTTTCCACTCAGTGAGATCAAAAAAAGCTAGGAAAAAATATAATAACAACTCTTAAAATTTCGAAATATTCGCGAAGTCGAGGGATGAAATGACTCCCCTTTTACTCAACTTTTTTGTTTCAAAGTAACTCAATATATTTTTTTTGACACAAAATAGTTTTTGAACGCAACTGCACTTTTAAAAATCTTGCAAATAATAATTTGAAGGGCTGGCATTATGATAAACGCGAACTGTCACGTATTGCCCCCCATACCCTATTTGAATTACTGAATTCAAAACACGAAATAAGAATTCAAGTTAATTGCATCATCTGTATATTTATTTTGCTTCTATTATAACTGCATCATTTGCATAATTATTCAAAATACCTGATGTATACATACCAATGTTGGGAAGAATGTAAATATGTGTAACACTACTGTAGTTTTATGTTAATACTAAATTAGCAATAATGCTTAATATTAACTAAATTAAAAAAAAGTAATATTGGCAATGTTGTTTTTATTTTTATAATTAAGTCAATATTATGCATTATTGGTAATTTATTACTAAAAAAAAGTTACTTTAGTGATATGCAAGTTTACATTCCTGTCAATAATATACAATAGGTTTGTATTGAACTTTTATTCGGAATAAACTAGCAATAAAAACTAAAAAACATAATAAAAAAACTTGAAGCTTTATTTGTTGACATTTTAATATTAAAGACACAAAAAACTATTTAATATAATTTTCAAATCCTAATTCATCTAACATACGTTGCGCTAATAATTTAAGGTATCTATAACTGGGAAAAAAATTAATTGTGTGAATAATGGGCAAGTAAGGAATATTTTTTGCTGACCAGTTTATTCCAAAGGAGAAAAACTAACAAGCTGAAAAATTATATGTTTAGTAGATGCTCCTTTTCTAATCAATGTTTGTGGCAATTATTTATTTTCCGAAGAAGACTTAATACATTCATATCACTATTCTTAGAGAAACTTACTGTAACAGAGTAAAATATATGTGTGATGTGGTGGATATTTTTTAAATGACTATTTGAACTACTTTTTAAATGGATATACATTTCAATGTTTGATTTATTTTTTATTTAATTAGCAATATAGTTTTCTTGCTATTCAATTTTTCTCAAATTTTATTTTATTTTGTAACATGTGTGTGACAAAATCACACGAGTTTTTTTATTCATATGTTAGGACCATGATTTAATGACATTTGAACACGTTTACAATTTTACAAAACTTAGCGCCTCTGCCCTAATGAATCGTTTTGAATGTATACTATAACATATTTTTTCCAGTTCAAGCCCTTATAAATGAATAAATCTTTGGTATCACATAAATTTCTTTGCATTTTCAGACTAAATAGCTAGAATACTTACAAATCCTGATAGAAAAATCGTGTGCAACATTTTGCCGTTAAAAATAAATCCCATTAAAATTTTACAAAACTGAATGATTTTGTACTTTGAATTACAATAATTAGCCAACCACACAGTGACACACAACTTTTTAAAATTTTTCGGAAAGAGCTTTTAGATTGCGTCTGATATTAGCTACAAAAGTTATGTGCAAAATCCATTTTTTGCCACCTTTGAATTCATTTTTTGCCTTGCTAAAAAAATGGATTCAAAGGTGGCAAAAACTAACTTTCTGAAAGTTTTTCAAATCGTCTCATAGTTTTAAACCTGGATTGTGAATGTAACATTTTTAAAAACATTTTTTTTTACGCTAACAGGTTTTCTCAATTTTTGTATTTATTACTTAAAATAGCTTTTAAGTAATAAATGCAAAAATTATTTTTTAAATATAAATTTCAAATCCTAATTCATACCATATACGAGCAATATAAATTGTTTGATAAAACGTAACTAACAGTAAAATTGCCAATAATAATAATAAAATTATTGTTTACTATTTTACAAAACAAACAATATTTTGAACAAATAATAATAATAATAAAATTATTATGTTATTGTTTAAACTATGGTTTGTTATTAATATATTGTAGTGTTGCGAAGGTAAAATTTACCGGAAAATTTACCGGAAAATTTACCGGAAAATTTTGAAAATTTACCGCCTGGTAAGTTTCAAAATTTTTTTCACTTATTTTATTTTATTTTTTTTTTTTTTTTTTAATTTTTTAAGGAAAATTTACCGTTCTCTAATTAAAATTTACCGCTAAATTTACCAATAAATATACCGGTAAATTTTGAATCAAATTTTACTGGAAAATTTACATCACTATTAAATTGTTGTTGATTGTTATTAGTAAAATTGTTTTTTAGTATGTTACATAGCAAACATTAAAATGCAAATAACATTGGTGAAATTATTTTGCCATGTTTTGACAAGCAATATATCGTCGGTATACAAGTCCATTTGTTGCAGAAGCTATTTATATCACTATTTAGAATTTTTAATTCTCTATTGTTTGTTATACCACACTAGTTTAATAAACCAATTAATAATGAGTTATTAAGATTTTTCCCAGCGGGCATTTTGACGTCCTAAGAACGTCCGTAAGACGTCTTAAGTCTCGTCCGTAAGACATCCTTAGTTGGTCTCAAATGAAAGGCTTGAGGACGTCCATTCTGGACGTCCAAAAGACGTTTTTTAAAGACGTCCTAGAGACGTTTTTTGCAGACGTTCTAGAGACGTCTCTGGCTGGTCTCATATGAATGACTTAAGGACGTCTTTTTCAGACGTCCTAGAGACGTTTGAATTTTACCAAGACATTCTTTTAAAAGTTATATAAAAATGCAATGATTTACAACACACACCTTAGATTTGCCTTAATCTAGGCAAGGGAAGTTATAAAAGGAAATCAATGTAAATAAAGTGTAATTTGATATATTTAAAATAAATTAATAACTTTATAAAAAATAAGAATAATTTTTCAAACAAAAAAGTTAAATTTTTCAAATTAAAAACTAATAGGTACTGTAGAATATAATCGATAGTGCATTATAAATAGAAGAAAATTGCTTAAAAATGGAAAAAAAATACAACAGTTAATTAAGCCAACATTGATCGAAATCCATATTAGTCAATGTTTTCTTTATTCGGTCAGAAGAATGCCTAACTACTCCCCCAATAAGTTGGATAGCATCCATTTTGGTTAAGTTTTTATTTGACTTTAAAGCAGTTTCTAATAAAAACAACAAAACATGCTTCAATAAAATCATAAAATAAAATATATATGTTATACATACACTTGAATACATGTCATGTTCCAGAGCCTAAAAAAATTTTTTTTTTTTAAACATCATTTTTAATTTTTAATTAATCAAACACAATAAGCTAATAAGAGTACCAGTGACAGCGTTACATAGACTTGTTAACTCTTTAAACTTTTTTTCTTCTTTAGACAAATCATGCTGTATTCTGACAAAATAGTGTCTGTTGGCAGTCTACATATATAAAAAAGAAGATAAATGCTCTACTGTCAATCATAAATGTTAAAACTCAAACTTTTGCTAATTACTTACAAGAGCAAAATATTTTTAATTGTATCAGCTAGATTTTTATCGCCAATTAATGATAACTGTTTTATCTAAAAAGAAACAATGTATAAGAAACATTGAAAATGTTTATGACAATTTAAAATAAATATTGTAATAATATATATCATAAAAACTTTAAAGATGAAACTCATGTATACAAAAGTGATGTATTGGATATCTCCATTTGCAAATTTTTTTTTCAAAACATTAAGTTTATCTGAACTTTTACGTTGTTTAAAACCTTCTTCTGGATTATTAGAGAACAGTGCAGTTCTATCTACTAAATTTTTTTTTCATTTCAGCAAGTTAGAATATAAATTTTTTCTGAAACTTTGAAAAATAAAATATATAAGTAAAGCCATATAAATAGTATATAAAGTAGTAAATAGTAATTCCTATATATGGTTGAGAAGAGGTAGATTTAAACTAAATAATGCAAAAAATCTCAAGTTTCATGCTTAACCTTATAAGAATATATATGTATACATATATATATATATATATATATATATATATATATATATATATATATATATATATATATATATATATATATATATATATATATATATATATATATATGTATATATATAATGAATATGTATGCATCATATAAACATAATATAATGTATAAATCATGTATATATAAATAATAATACATCAAATTAAATGAAACCACACAGTAACTAGGTGTCAACATAAGTAATAATCTTAATAATTATTTATACAACCAGAGATGGAAAGATCATAAAATTGAACGAAACAACACAGGAACAACAAAATATATACAATTTATTTATTCATTTACCTATTTCTACAGCAAAGATATTACAAATCTTAGCATATATATATATATATATATGTATATATACATATATTATAATATAGATATATATATACATATATTATATATAGATATTACAAATCTTAGCATATATATATATATATATATATATATATATATATATATATATATATATATATATATATATATATATATATATATATATATATATATATATATATATATATATATATATATATATATATATATATA